GCAGAAGAAACGCTGGTTTCCCAAGACTCCATTGCCAGTCTGAAGTGGGCGGGATGATGCTCATTTCTTTCCAAGGAGCCAGTGGAGATGCCTCGTGAATGGGCCTCACGGAATACCGAAAGGTCGAGCTACCGTGTGCCAAGGACGTGTTTGTGCAACTCCAAGACCAGCCCTGCCGTCGTGTCTGCAGCCGAAATGAAATGTACCCCAAACATTTCTCCTCTTCTGCCCATCAATGCCAGAACACGTCGGTGTCTGGCCTCCCGCGTTGTCAGTCCATCGTGCACGGGTTGCATGGTCCGGGTCGCGCCGTTCAGGTCGCTACTTCTACAGCATTTCGGGCCAGGCTGCCTCCAGCATCAACAAGTACAGCCGAACTGGACCCACTCTTGCCCGTTCGATGCAGGTCGGTCGCAACCACAATAAGTTGCTGGCCCAATTGGCTTCGTCGCGCTGCCATGCCCACCGACTACTTGTCCTCACTGTTCACACGAGGCTGCTGGGCTGCCTCTAGACCCCACCAGACCGACTCGGCACATCTGCCCGTGGCATGTATTCGTCAGGACGCCTTTTGGTTTTAATACATTAAGCATCCTCAAATCGTCGTTGATCTGCAACATTTATTTGTCTTGCATCGGTTTCAATTATGCCAACTTGCCATCAGTGCATGTACACTAGCACTCTCACTCTCTCTTTCAGACACACACACACACACACAAACAATTCAATAGAGCCAATGGTTTTTTAATTATGAGGAGGACTAGTCAAGATGCCTGCTCTTTTTGTGTGACTAGCTCCTCAAAAGTCGCTTAAACTGCTTCTACCAAAATGGGTCAGATGGCTGCTTATGCCGTCATAGTTTGAACGGCCTAAACCTTTGCGGCAATCTTCCTTCGGTCTTCTTTGATAACATTTCATGATTTCATTCCACATAACTTTTCCTTCGATTTAGAATGTCTTGTCATGATGAGTCAAGAATCAATTCTTAGATTTATACTTTTTATTCTATTGACTACCAGATATCATTGAGCCCTCCCCGACATCAATATATGTAATATATTTAAC